GATAAAATAATTACTCAATCCGGATAAAAACTTTAATTTTGTAAAAGGTGGAATTAAATCCAATTATCAACAAATTTGAGTACTATGATCGTATTTGTAACACTAAGAGCTTTCAAACAAGCCATAAATCATAAAGTTCTGATCATTAGTTCATGAAATACAACAGTTTATCCAAAATCTGCAATCCGGATAAAATCCGACAAAATCCGGATAAAACCGCAGTTTTTACCCGGATAATCGCACTTTATCCGGATTGACCCGAGTCAAACCGGATTCGGATCCAAACACTAATGGAAGTAAGTTTTTCATGGTATAAGTTAACGTAATGCATGAGTTTATTAATGGCGTATCTTCATTCATTTTGAGTATTTGTTGCGATCCGGTTGCCTGGTATTTCATAGTAAAAGAGATACCTTGACGTCTAGAAAATACTTATTTAACTTTATGTTCCTTCCAAGAATTAAAAAGTTGGTTAGCATAGTAAGACTTGGAAGAAAGTAAAGGAACTAGTGTTTCTATTGGCTTCTTAGTAAAAGTGTATCTTTCAAGATATTTCTGATGGATGATGTAAGCGCATCTGTCATTCAACATTATGAAAGGACTAGGAACATTACACGTAAAGTGATGAATTGAGTGAATGTTTTCAGCCACCAGGTGATTGCAAAGTAAAATCTATAAAGTTTTATAACTAAAGTTGAAAAAGGTTTGCGAAGACGTATTGTGACATTGTAGTTCTTGACCACGTGATAAGATTATATCAATTCTATCCAACAATTTTGAACGAATGAGTCAACATTGTGCTTACTTGAAATTTGTCATTAGGAAAGCCACTCGTGGAGTTGTAGCTAATCGGGTAGTTTCATATGGTAATCATTTATGTGTATCTTAAGATGAATATCATTGGTGCACTCATTTCGATCAAAAAAAGAAACTTTTGGATCTGCGGATTTCGTTGGAACTAGCCCGATTAGGTCTGGTCACATGAAATTTGTTAAACGAGACAAGGAATGTTTTCTTAATATTTGATAAGGGTTTTTTTTATGAGAAAAAAAAAAGTTGAGTTTTTAAGCACAACTGTCTTAATAGCGGTATTAAAGTTCACCCTCATCTCTCTCAAAGGTGTTACCACCAATTTATGACGTTTGGTAGGTAGTAACAGAAAGAAAAATAAGGATCGGTTTATTAATGGTAAGGTAATATAACAATATATAACAATCAATCAGGTAAAAGTGTATATAAAAACAATTTATTATGCGATGTATATGAAAATCAATGATGTATAGTAAAAATCAACAAATATTAATAAATGATAATATTAGTAAACGATATTAGACGATGATAAACAATAACAATATGTGATAAAACGTGTATAAATAATTCGGAAGCAAATCGACAGGTTTATTCGTTAATAAAAAGAATACGATATTACTGCCTCAACCGGCGCTCTGTAATATCCCGATATCTATCTTATAACAATAAAACTAAACGAATTCAAACTGAACTATCTATCTTTCAACACTGGTCCTTTATATAACATTAAATTTTTTTGGACGATTCTGTCCTTCGGACATAATCATCTCCCGGCCAATATCGTTTCCCGGCCAATTGTGGCGATCTGGGCACATTTGTCTATACAGCCACTTGTATTCAGCCACTTTATATCGCTAAGCTTCCGCTTTTTATCTAATCTATAAACAACCAAAAACAACTACAAGTAATATAACTAAAAATAACAAAAAAAAATAAAAATAGAAATAAATAAAAATAAAAACAATAAAAATAAAAAAAATAGAAATAAAAAAAATATCCCGTGACAAAGGTTCAAAAGTTAAAGAGGAGGTCTTTCCGTAGAGGCCACCAAGTGGTCCTCTCTCTTCAAGGATAAAAAGTGTTTGTTGGAAAATTAGTTTTTACTGCGGACTACTAACAAAAAAAACGGAAAGGGAAGAGTTTTTTTTTTCATTTTTAGGATTCTTCATATATTAACGTTATCTCACGTGACTTGCCGGCAAAATTATTCTCCAGGAATTGCTTATCGGTTGTTGTTTTAACCGGAATTTCGGAAATCTTTCCACTTGGATAATTTTGTGACAGTTAACTTTGGCGTTCAGTGACATCATATTATTTATAAATAGTTAAATAGTTAAACAAAAAAAAAAAAAAATTATTATTTATAAATAGTTAAACATAAATAGTGAGACAAAAAATATTTCTATTTTTTTTCAATTTTTAAATTTAAATTCCGCAGTAATAATTTTTTTTTCGTACCCAACAATGTCTAATAGCGATGAACATACTAGTAATTCAAACGATTGGAATGAATGGATTGAAGAAGCGATTTCTAAAAAACATATTAAATATTATGAATATGAAAAATTTTATAATATTCAAGAAATTGGTTCCGGTGGTTTTGGAAAAGTTTATCGTGCAAATTGGAAGAATTCTCATAAGCGTTATGCAATAAAATCTTTTTTTAATATCAATGATGCTGCAGTTAAAGCAATAGTTCATGAGGTAATTATAATGTCAAACATTTTTCATTATTATTATAAATATTTAAGTTTTTTGATGTAATAATTTATTTATTGACTAGATTCAACTTCAACGTGAAGTTGATTTTCATGATAATGTTATTCGTTTTTATGGTGTCACAGCTTCTATTAAAGGTATGATATATTCTAATATTATTTATTTCATAAAATACAATAATTAATTGATTAATAAAAATTTTTTTATTTTTTAAAGAAAACCAAAGAAAAGAATATTCGTTGGTGATGGAATATGCTGAAAATGGTACCCTCCGAAAATATTTGAAAGAAAATTTTGAAAATCTCACTTGGGACGATAAATTTAATTTTGCACTTCAATTGGTTTATGCAGTATCATGTTTGCATGATGAAGGGATCATGCACCGTGATTTGGTAAATATTTTACAATTTATTATGTGTTTTATTTTAATTATTCTCTTATTTTAACGTTAATATAATATTGATAGCACTCCAATAACGTGTTAGTCCATCAGAATACTGTCAAGCTAGCAGATTTTGGCTTATCAAAAAGAATTGAAGAAACATCCAACTCTCAATCAAAAACATTTGGATTAATTCCTTACGTTGATCCAAAAAGTTTTAACAGAAGTGCAACAGAATTTTATTTATTAAATAAAAAAAGTGATGTTTACAGCGTTGGTGTATTATTGTGGGAAATATCCAGTTGTCAGCCTCCTTTTCACGGTCAACCATATGATGTTGGTTTGGCTATAAGTATTCTACAAGGCCTTAGAGAGACACCCATTCATGACACGCCTGAAGAATATATAAAAATTTATACTGGTAAATACAATTTAGACTATAACTTATATATTATATTATTTTAATTAATTAAAAACGTTCTTTTTTTTTGTAGATTGTTGGAATATTGAACCTGATGATCGTCCAACTATTAATCAAGTAGTTGATGAATTAAAAGTGCTCATAACAAAAGAAAACATAATTATAAAAGATTTTCACTTACATAATGATACTAATAATGTCCAATCATCAAATAACCATCAACTGCCTGATTTAAATATTTCTGAAAGTATTAATTTATCACATGGAGAATTTTCTCAATTTATTCAAAATTTTGATATGATGAATACAAAAGAAATAGAATCTTCAGTATCATCGATTAACCAATTTGAGGATAACTTTAATATAATAGTTAATAATATGTTCAATTTTTTTGATGATGATGATGTAGTTGGAAAACAAAAGGTTTTAAGTTATCTTAATGAACAAAATATAACTTTGCAAGAGATTAATAATTTATTATTAAATAATCAAAACAACTCAAATTCTATTTACTTACTTGGAAAATTTAATGACTTAGGAATTGGAATTGATGTTGATAATGAAAAAGCATTGGAGTTATATCAAAAAGCAGCAGATTTAGGAAATGCATTAGGAATGAAAGATTTAGGATATTGTTATGCATATGAAACTGGAGCAGGTGTTATTGACAAGAAAAAAGCATTTGAATTGTGTCAAAAGGCAGCAGATTTAGGAAATTCATCTGGTATAAATAATTTAGGAGGTTTTTATTATAATGGAATTGGAACTGATATTGATGTGAAGAAAGCATTTGAATTATATCAAAAGGCTGCAGATTTAGGGAATTCACTTGGAATAAATAATTTAGGATATTGTTATCAATATGGAATTGGAACTGATATTGATGAGGAGAAAGCATCTGAATTATATCAAAGAGCTGCAGATTTAGGAAATAGTTCAGCTCAATATAATCTTGCTATTATGTATGAGAATGGAAATGGAATTATTAAAAGTATTGATGTTGCAATTTATTGGTACAAAAAATCGGCTGAGCAAGGAGATCAATTTGCTCAAAATAAATTATGTATACTACTTGATAATGAGAAAATAAAGAAAAATTCATGTAAAGTAAATTAAAAATGTTTTATTTAAAATATTTATTTTATTATTACTATTATAGCTATTTTTTCTTACATTTTTAGATTGTTATTACTACTTGCTAATTATTTTATAATAAAATAAATTCATCCTAATAAATTTGTTATTTTTCATTATAATTAAATTTTAAAATTGTAAATTGTATTTATTGATCTTTTTTGTATAAAATACTCGCTTGGTAAAAAATTTTTTTTAGTTAATCTTTGAGTTACTTGTACTTGTTATTAACTAAAATGTCATAGTGGCTGAGTGGCTGGCGGTGAGAATATTACGTTTAATTTATACTATTTAATTATTAGGAAGTAAAAATAAATAGAAAAATTATATAATAGTAGATAGATATTTTTGTAAAGAATTTTTTAGTTTTTTTTTCCAAAAACTATTTCGAAATAAGTAATAATAAAATTTTAAAAAATAAACGACTTTAAAATTGAGCACCATCACGTTATTTTTTTTTTTATAAGTTTAATTTTGATAAATTTAATAAAATAAGTATAAATTTTATTTTATGTAGTTTTTAGTAATATCTCAAACATAAATTACTTTTGAAAATAAAAATTTCCAGTTTGTGGCTTATTTTACGGGTATGCGCATATTTTATTTTACAGATATAAAAATTTGCAAAAAAGACAAGTATCGTACTACGTAGTATAGAATATTTGTACGACAATATTGAACTTGAAAAAAAGTTTAACATTAACAATATTTTCTAATATTTATTTCTATTTTACATTGAGAGTATATTCCAATAATGTATATGCAAAACTCAAATCTATAAAATATACTGCAAACTTGCTAATCTTTTAACCGTGATACTGTTATCAGTTATACTGACACTATCAATATCGATATTATAATACTAAAGTAAGTTAAATCACTTTAATTATACAATAAAAAGAAAAAAAAAGAAGTAAATGTTTTAACCAATATAAGAATTAATCACGCACAATGATTTCAAGAAAATTGCACCTCTTGACTATGGTCGTCTATATTTGCACATTATAAAATTAACTCAAACCGCTCTATTGAATAAGCGTAAAATAGCTGGAGATTCGTATGGTATGCGGTAAGCTTTACCTGGCAGTAAAATGGGCAGAACATCAACGATTATAAAATCTAGATTACCGTATACAGTAAATTTCAATAAGTATATTTTTTGGTAATAACTTTATAATTAAATTTTGTGAACATTAATTAATGGAATTTAAAACAAAGAAAAATATTCTTTCGTCCTATTTAAAATATTACGTGAGTGTTCTTTCTTAATATGTCGTAATTTTTAGTTTTCTACAAAAAAAACATTTTTTTAATCAAAATAAGAAAATTATCTTTTTCATGCTTTTGAAAAATACATTAGATTAACGTCAAATAATGTGTCACGACTGTCATGACATGTAATCTTATGTAAAACACTGTTATCTATTAAAATATAATACATACATTTGCGTTCAATAAATGTTACATAAATTTGGAATGTCCGTTTAATTATACCTTTATTTTAAATTTAGTCATGTAATTAACTATTTTCTAGTAAAATAAAACGCTAGAAGGAAAATTAGCAAAGCACATAGAATTAATTGTTCTAGTTTATAGAAATTTATGATTATAAGCATATTACAGTATTATTCAAATATCTAATACATTATATGATTATAAAATTTTAATATTTCAATTATTTCATGCATTTAATCCTAAAAATTATTTTAGTTTGTTAAGAATTGTCTAGCATTGTAATCATTTATCGTTCAAAATGTCGTCAACCAGCAGTAAAGTTACTAAATTTGGAAAGGCTACTAGATTAATAAAAATAGATAAAATTTGACAGGAGCAACAAAAGGCATTACAACTTCGACATCAATGATAATTTCGTAAGCCCATCACGTGTCAATGATATACCAAAAATGAGAAGAGAACGAGACTAAAGTTTCATTTAGATAAATTTGGCTACGTGACAAAATTGCGTATAAAAAATAATTTCAATACCAATCGGAATGGCTGACATTAGACTAACTCCGACAGTTTCGTTTATTGGTTTTCTGACTCGATGAAACTTTTACAAGTCCGGAAAAGATATGCTTGGCAACTTACCAACGAAATAAAGAAATTAATTTTATTATTGTATATGTTAAAAAAATATAAAAGTTTTTTGGCAAAATTATTAGGATTTAATAATAAGGATAAACAAATTTTAATTATATATTTTAAAAATGATGTATCCATTGGAAAAGAATGAAAGAATTTTTGATGGCCTACAAGTAAAATCTCCAGATGAACTTTTTTTGATAAGGAAGGTATTATAATTTTTTTAAAAAAAATCAAATTTCAAGGTTTCACTAACAAACGTACTATCTTTCAAGTTCTAAGGACAGTAGGGTTATTTCATCAAAAAAGGATATAGATACAAGTCTGAACCAAGGTATGAGGGAAGACATTTTTGTTAATAATACTGGGAGTTGTTTCAGCGTCTTTGGACATGGGCACGAAGGAATGTGAGAAGAAAGGGAAATAGGTTTGAAGATGCTTTTGCGTGTTTAAAAAGGATATAATGATGGAATAATTAAAATAGCAATACTATTTTTAGTTATATGAATCATTAGGGTGTACCATCAAATAATTAAACCAAAATATACGAAATTATTTTTTCTAGAAAAATACTCGTCAAATAATAGGTCTGCTGCTCTAACTCGCTCTGCATCAAATTGTCTGGCATCTTGTGAAATTATATTTGTATTATTTTTCAAATCTAACCCCTACAATGGTTGTTTTCTTAGTTTTGATTGTTGTAATTTCTTGATTCATATTTGGAATGCATTTTCCCATGAAAAAATCAGAAATCTCGGAAACTCGATAAATCATGTATTATTGATTTTTATGCAATACCAAAAGACTAAAAAAATACACAATAACTTAAAGAATAACGCAATACCTCGATTTGTTTTAAAAAACAAGTAAAGAAAAAAGTTTTATTATTAAGGATTAACTAAGAAGGCTGGTTCTGAGCGCGGATGACCTTCTTTGAAAAAAACAAAGATGTTACACAAAAAAGACAGCTATTTTGGATATTCTTGGAGAATTTGAAACGTAAATAGTGGGAATCCCTATAAAAAAATCGGATACGTTTTTTATAAAGTTTTTATACGATTTTTTTTCCTTAGAAATAACGTATCATGAAAGGATACGGGAAAATGCACAATTCCGTATCACAATAAATATGGTTTGGATACGGAATTTACACGGGATTCGTATGGAATTTACATGATTTGATCACTGAATTTATCATGAAATTTATACGATTTGTTACTGAATTTACCATTATATTACAGTTTATTATAGTTGTATTTACATAAATTTAATTCTACTTTATTAAATTAAATATAAATTAAAAATTAAACAAATACAAATATATTAAATACATTATTAAAATTCCCTTCCTTATCAAAACCACCTATTGCAACCCAAATTATCTATAATATGTTAAGGTTCATTCAGAGTCAAAAAACCTAAAAAGAAAAAAGAAACATGAGAATGTTTAACTTAACCGGAAACCAAAACACCCTCATATAGTATCTGCAATCGTCCAAGTCACCAAGGGTCAGTATTCCTACAAAAAAGAAAAAGAACTCCAAAATGTCTGACCTACATAAAAGAAAAGAATCATAAAACGTCTGATGAAAAGAAACCAAAACAACTTACAAGAAAAAAATCCAGAATCTGAACCAAACTTACAAAGAAAAAAGAAAATTTGAACTGACCTAAAAAAGAAAAAAAATCCTGTACCATCCTACAAAAAGAAAAGGACTCCCAAACTAATTTACAAAAAAAGAAAAAAGAAACTTTCAAAAAAAATCTGTTGGCCTATGAAAAAAAAGAGATAATATAAATAAAAAAGAAAGGGTAGTGAGTAGGGAATAAAAGAACAAATCAAAAAATATTTTTCTTTAAAAAGAGGGGTGACGAAGTTAGGAAAGTTAAAAAAATTTTTTTTTAAAAAAAAAGGGAGGATGTCAATGTTAGAAAAATAAAAAATTTTTTATAAAGAATAGAAAGAAAATTTTTTTT